CCCCCAACAAACACACAAAGAATCCTTTCGCCGACCTGGAAACTCTGACGTCACTCAAGCGTGAGCGTGAAATACACAAATTTGGACACTCGAGCAGATGCCAGTGAGTCACATCATTATCTCTCGATGTGCACCGAAGCTACCAAGGTAGAGGCTGATCATATCTAAAGTACGTCAGAAGTCTGCTTCATGAGAGATTGGCAGGTGCTCTGATGTGGTCTACTCCTTCTTTCCTATTAAGCACGTATCGTCCTTAATATTATCTTTCCTCCTCCTTTTATTTTTGTGTATGTTACTCTCTAGCGTAGTAACACATAATATGATCTTCGGCATTTTTATTATGATCTATTTGCGTTGTGAGTGCCGTAAAACTCTTACCGAAACATCAAACAAACGTCTTCTTAGTTGAACTAAACTACAGAACATAGTCTTTCGGTTCGCAGAAGGGTCTGAGCAAAGAAATGAATGGCAAGCTGAGATACACAAAGTCTGTTTACGATTTGTCACTCCGTGATGATGATAATATGATGATAAGCATGGACTTGCGATACAAACTGGATTCTTTAATGTCGAGGATTAGAGATGCATCACTAGAGAGTAGCAAACAAAGTTAAAAAACATACAAACAAAAACAAAACAGAACAGGAAGATAGATGTTTGATAAGAGAGAAAAACAAACAACACGAGATCCCCCGCCAACCACCTAAACGTCTGCAATTTGCAATTTTGAACCCCGTCACAATTCTTAACATAATATTTTCTCTGTCGTTAAAACCAGCCAGAAGCTGATCTAGACCCACGTCCCGTGAGCCCAGGCCGTCATCGGATTCTTACAACACTTGTGACAAGACCTGGGACCCCGGGCTCATCACCAGGTCATTAGAGAAAGCCGTGTCGTCAACGAACCGTGAAATGACCGGACACTGGTCAGTCTATCATTGTTCTGGGCAGACGAGGAGATACGGGAATAGATTGCCACCTCCTTCCCTTAATACCAGAGTTAAAGATGTGAATGGGTGGAGGAGCCCGGCCGGGGGGGTAGGCTGAGCGTTGACTAGTGGCTTACAAAGAGATACATAATTTCATTGGACAGCTGCTCACATAGACCAAACCCAAAATTCTGAACACTTTATTCATTGCAGTTTCTAAAATGGTAATGATACTTCTTTTACAAATCCCATTTACAGAGCACATTTGTACTTAGAAATTGCTCAATGACTTTTACAATAGTACAAAGAAGATAGATTCAATAGTGATCCTTTCACTCACTCTCCCCCTCCCCCCTCTCTCTCTCTCTCTCGCTCTCTCTCTCACTCTCTCTCTCTCTGTATTTCTTTTCCCACTTCCCCTCTCTACAGTTTTAGTCATATTACATTGATCAGAAAGCTAAAATAAATATACCTCAACAAAAATGCTCATGGGACATCCAAGATTTTTCGCACTTATCCGAGAAGGCATAAGGTATTTATGGGCTTCTTATCTTCTTAATTATTTATTGAAAGCCCTTTCGGTTCTCACACACTCATCATAATATGATTACTTCACAGCATTTGTGAGTCAGCGTGGTGAAACCATACGCTCGTCAAAATAATGACATTGAAGAAGTTTTGCCGGTTTTGCAATTTTTATCGAGTATTTGTTTTTTGGCTCACCACCTTTTATGTCTATTTAAGAACCCATTTCTGTGTGGGTTTTGCTGAAAAACGTTGATGATTAAAGGCACAAGAAATGTAGATTTTCAGTATCCACAAACTCTCAGACTATGTTAATAACCAAATTTTGGCTGCCATATTCTCGCTAACTTTACCCCTTAAACCAACCGACACCCAGTTCCTTCAGTCGCAAATATCTCAACTTGTGGTCAAGATAAATGGGTATTTCGTTCCTCGAAATTAAGGCAAATGTACATGTTTTAAGGCGATACCAATAACTCCACATTCCCAAAAATTGACGAGCGCCTGATTCTACCACGGCCTGACACATTTCATTCCATTTCTTTGATCCTGTGGCTATTCGAGTTCCCGCCCCTAGCGCTGTTGACATGACCAAGAATAAAGTATATTATGTATTCTTTTAAGTGAAACAGAGTACATGAAATAGTCGCTTTTAAGGACAAGTGGACTAACCCAGATTTCGGGGGCTTCAGAAATCTTGACATATATCAAAAATGAGCATTGCCCTACCTATAGGAGAAGTTTGGTTTCATTGCTGTGTATATTTGTTCGGTTATAGAGAAAACTCTCCTTGTCTTTTAAAGAATCTAAACACGGGGCAAAAACTTTACCTTTGATTTTCTCAAAAACTATTTTTTTTCGGGGATAGCCCCCTTGTGCTTAAAAGCGACCAAATATCCAGTGGGTGCTCTGGTGTGGTTTGCTTCTTTTTTCCTATGAAACATCTATCGTCCTTATCTCCCCTTCTTCTTTTGTATGTTTGTTACTCTCTTGTAACACCTCTAAACTTCCGGGCGCTCTCATGACCTTACGCAGTTGCGAGCGCCGTAAAACCTCTACTAAATTGTAAAAAAAAAAAGCTTAAAAGCGACCAACTATCCGGTGGGTGTAATCTCCAAGGACCAATAAACTTGAACTGTTACCTCAGGCACTGTGACCTTTGGTAGGAACCTGGAGGTCACGTTGTACACACTCTCGTCCGGGTGAATGAACACCGGCCTGTGTAGGTTCATGTCCACCACTGTGACCATTACGTCAACACTGGCGCTCCGCCGAGGCGAGCCCTTGTCCGTGGCCACCACCGTCACCAGCTGAGAGCCTGAAGATCCAATCAGAGACATCGCAACTCTCAATTCTGCGCGGTCATCAAATTTTTTAACGTCGAAAAGGGAAGTTCCGTTTGTTCCCAGTGCTATAGAATATTCAATCTGTGGACACGAGTATAAACACGGATCTAAATTATGACCATAATAGTAATAAATAAATAAATTACACTTTTATTTGTCTCAGAAGGGCACTTTGGTTTACAATGGCAAACATATACATACATAAATACATAATTATAAATACGTAAATACATAAATATATGCATAAATACATACATAAATACATACATAAATACACAATATTACACAAATACAGAACAGTTTACAACCATGTCATTGTCGGTCACCACTGTGCAGCGCCCTGTATTTTGAGCTAGGGTTGTCGTGTCTTGCTCAAGGACACACCCCAGTGACCACCCATCTGATCCCTGTGTCACCGACACTTGCTTGACATTACTTGAGTCTAAACTCACTGCTCATTTAGCCACTTAAACTTAAACCCTATCACATTGTCCAAATGTCAAGATGGTGGGCACTGGACACATAACCTCGTTTCAAACTCTTCACACATTTTTCTCCTTTCAATGCATTAAAGGTATTCAAAGAAAACCTGTAGCAAATCACCCAATTGCCTTATTGGCCTACCCCCCTCATAATTATTCATAGATCCTATCATATTGTTGTTGTTGTTTTCAAATCACTTTAGCTGCGAGCATTTCGCTCTTGGCAGCGCAATGCCTCCCTCAAGAAACCACATATCCTTGTCATCTGGTCAACGCCAGCAGATTCTATCTTAAAAGTTCATGTTTTTTCATCAGCATCTGCAAGTCTGTGAGGAGCAATACTAGAAAACAGGGAATTCGTACCTCGTATTTTCAAACAACAGAACGGACACCTGTACTCAGACTCCTAAATGTGTAGAAGATACGTTTTTATGTAGGCTGCTGGTTGGTAGCTATGGTGGCGTTGATAGTCTAGTGGTTAGGCTACCGGACTCGTACGTAATCGTGAGATTGCGGGGTTCGAGGGTTCGAGCCTCAGGCTCGACGTTGTGTCCTTGGCTAGACTAAAGAAACCACACAAGGAATGTGGGTGATGGGGGGGGGAGGGTGCTCTGGTGTGGTTTGCTCCTTCTTTCCTATAAAAAAAACCATCGTCTCTATCGCCCCTCCATCTTTTATGTGTTTGTTAGCCCACTCTCTAGTAGCACCTCTAATCTTTGGCACTTATACGACCGTATTGTATTGCAAGTGCTGTAAAACTCTTCATCATCATCAAGTGCCAGATCTGCGACAGACATCGGCGGTCATGGTTCTCCGTTCATTCCTTTGCTCGGATGCTCTCAAAAGAGCTACGTGTCTCTGATCTTTTTCTTTTACCCTTTTAAAGCTCTTACTAAATCTAAAACACAGGGAATTCCAGCTAGCTCACCTCTCCGTTGAGCCCTTCGTCCATATCGGTAGCTCTGAGGTCCACCACACTGGTCCCCACTTTCTCGTTCTCCCTCACACTGACGGCAGGGATGAACTGCGTCCACTCAGGGTCATGGTCGTTCACGTCGGTCACCGTGATGTCCAAAGTCATGCGGCTACGACGGCGCTCAGAGACGGGGGCGGAGGGGTTGTCTGTCGCAATCACTGCCAAGGTGTACGACGCCCGTGCCTCTCTATTGAGCGGAGCAACGACGGAAATAGCGCCCTGGACCAGCAAAAAGTAACAAACAATAATCTAGAATCTAATTAGCGATTGAATTTATTCAACTGTTTCAGAATAATGTACTACGATAGTTAACTTGAATGATCTCTTTTCTAAATCATATAAAAATTTGTCTGCGATAACACTGGTCTACAAGGAATTTGCTTCCAGCATAAAGCCAGCTGATTCATTTAAAAACATTTTTAAATTGAAATTATTTTTTTTTTAAATTTAT